ATAAATAGACAATCATAACTGACTGATGTAACAGATGGTTAACACTATTCATCTAATATTCAATTTCTCTTGCATCAAAACAATACTTTATGTCATAAATAAAATATTTAATAGAATTAAAACTGATTAACATTTGAGGGCTTTATGCTGTTATTTCTTTTATTCAGTGACATTTTACACCAACTAATGTTGAATATGTATGGTTTCAAAGTATCTAAATACAATATGATTATTATCTTCACAACACAAAGAGTAACGCGGTGTTCACATGCTTATCGTATCGGTTCATGATCTCCAGTTATGAGAAATTATTGAGTAACACAGTTTTTCTATCACATTTCTTTGAAATGAAATGTTTTCAATTATGTATTCTCTAGTCAATTTGAGTAGAATATTTTGTCTGGGTTGTTCTGCCTTTATGAACATCAGCAACATTCAGAGAGAAATGGGGTTTAACGTCCATTCGACACAAACTAGGTCATTTTGGGACTAATACATAGTTCAATCTTATTTCAATAATTAGCTTGCATGTAGGGTTCGTTAGCAGTGGGAGGAAACCAGAGGACCCGGAGAAAACCCACGAGGTTGGACAGGCAACCATCAAAACCACACAGTTGACTCAATGACAGACCTTATGATACAGCACGCATTTGCTAACTATTCGGTCATCCACCCCCCCACCCCTTATGCAATAAATGAATGTGTAATAGCTATTTTGTATTAAGCACAGTAGATGATTTCTACATAAATAAACATGGATATAAAACTAAATGCATAGACTACTGGTTAAATCATTACTGTAATATAAGTATGCAAATGATGATTATGTGCACTGTGTTATTTCATGTATCAGCAAATTACTCAACTGTAAATGACATTAAATTCTTAAAGAGTCACCTAGAGTTTGAGGTGGTTTATTTATAAATATATGTAACTTTACCATATTGGGTATATTATTTCACTTTTGATATCATTGGCCATTGGGTCAGAGATAGAGAGAGAAATAGAGAGAGAGAGCGAGAGAGAGTTTAAAGTCTGCTCGACACAAACTAGGTCATTTCGGAACTAACATATGGTTCAATTTTATTTCAATAATTCGCGTGCGCGTAGGGGTCTTTAGCAGTAGTAGGAACCTGGAGGACCCGGAGAAAACCCATGAGGTTGGACAAGCGACCATGCTCCTTGTCACGTACATCTGGAGAATCAATGACAGACCTAATGATACAATGCGCACACGCTAACCATTCGGACACCCACCCCCCAATTGGGTCAGAATTTGTATAATATATGCAAACTGCCGGTATAAAACAACAGATCTCATCCAGAATGTACCAATCAGTGTCAATGCCTTGGTAATGTCATCTGTCCTCATATTTATGCCACGTGAAAAAATCTTGCATAGCCTAAACATTCATAAATAAAATATTGCACTTGTGACTTATACCATGACCTTAATACATGGAGATAGGTCACATCATGTATGTATGTTTGTACCACAGTAAGTGAATATAGTTTTTCATACATACATACACGTATTGTTGCTGGATACATACACATGTAGGTCAAGCAGTCTACCTCAAAGTGTGAAAGACCACATGATGAGTAGTGGTCAAAGAAAAGATTTATGAGAATAGTGGTCTGTCCAATCATGAACTGATATACCTGTCACTGACCATAAAAGAAATGATAATAAAATCATGAAGCATGTCATTCCTCTATAGATGAGAGAGGGGGTGTAATTCAGACTCCAATCAGACAAGTAGGACTAATAATGGACATTGTTAAAATTCATTCTTTCAAAATTAAATATCCTTAAAATGAGCCCCCATTATAAACTGATTTGAACATTGTTAATATGAAACTGATATAATAAAATTAATATATGCGAATATTTTCACCAAAGTGCTAAATTCTTTTCTTTTAGTTCTGTATGAAAAAAAATAAAATAAAACATCCATCATATCCTTGTTTTATATCCAAAAATAAACCCAACAAATGCATATAGCCTTTCCAATTATCGTCAATCACATTAAATGTATCTTTAAGGACGGGAGACACAGTGGCTAAGTGGATAAGACGCTGGGTTGCTAGTCTGGATGTCGGGTGTTCGATCTCCGCATTGGCCGAGAAAGTTCATCAGGATTTTCCAACAGGGTTTCCTCTTGTCAGTGGTGCAGAACGGAGGGCCTGACAAGGACTGCTGTCTAGTCCTTTAGATGGCACAAAAAACTGAGGTCCCATGTATACATTGGCGTGCACATAAAAGATCCCTTGGCAGATGGAATTCAATATAAAAGTAGGCCATAGTGCGGCTGCTTGTGCAAAATTTCCCGCATGGTCGTCTTCATTAGCCCAGTATTGGAGCAGAACAGTAGGACGTTAAACTCCATTACATTTCATTTCATTTCTCTTTAAGGACCCGTTAAATATCCAGATAATGGGAGTTCTATAGTTTCCTACCCCTACTAAATAGTCAAACCAACAAAATAAAAAATTAAATAAAAGTTAGTAGCAAAACAACCTAGCTGTGCGTTAATGATTAAACTCCAGTAACTTTCGTCTTACAGAATCACAAATATTCACCATTTGTTTTATATTTTGGAGTAACACTAGGCTATGACAGATAGGGGGTTTGGATGGCCAAATGGTTAGGGCGTCATGTGCATGTTGTATCATAAGGTCTGTCATTGAGTCAACTGGTGTGGTCTTGATTCCCGGGTTGTATGTGACAAGGAACAGGGTCGTCTGCTAAAGAACCCTACACCCAACGCAAATTATTGAAATAAAATTGAACCTTATGTTAGTCCCAAAGTGACCTAGTTTGTGTTGAGTGGACGTTAAACCCCATTTCTCTCTCTCTCTCTCTCTCTCTCTTGCTATGACAAATAATGTGTGCGGGCTTTTAGATCAATGACAGGAAATACTTCAATAATACTCTTAGTTATTGATGAATGTAATACATTACATACAGCTAAAACCACTTAATAACGATACTTCGCTACTTCGTCTGGTTACCTTTAACATAATTACAAGTTTGTCTGCTACTCATATCTCTCTCTATATATATGTTAACACATTGCCGAGTATGTAACACTCATTCTGCATTGAAAGACAAACAAGATTAAACACCCTTAGCCTAAGGCTAATCTTTACAGTACTTATAAGTTATCCAAAAGCTAACAAAATTATCAAGCTTTTTCTGAAATAGTTTATAAATAAATAACTAGAAAAGCCATCTAAATTGATTCACAAAATATATAAATTCTGGTCAACTGTTATTGGATACATCTTGGATTTTATTCGATTAAAATCATGCAAAGAGAGAGAGAAATGGGGTTTAACATCCACTCGACACAAACTAGGTCATTTCGGGACTAAAATATGGTTCAATTTTATTTCAATAATTCAGAAAACTCACGAGGTTGGACAGGCGACCCTACTCCTTGTCACGTACAACTGGGGAATCAAAACCACACCAGTCGATTCAGTGACAGACTGTATGATACAACACGCACATGCTAACCATTCGGCCATCCAACGCCCCTCTTAATCATGTAAAAACAACATTGTTGGATAATGGCAGTGGTGGAGGAATTGTTTTGGGACACCCCACCCACCCTGGGACACCCCACCCACCCCCTCCTTCGTAGACCATCACAAACTCCCCAGTTAATAGTTATTTACTCTTTCAATTGACAGATTTAAAGACTGCTAGTTTAATTTATGTCAATAAAAATATGCACTTGAAGTTTGTTGGATGGGAGAGAGAAATGTTTAGATTTTTTTAATATTAATGACAATTAGTTTAGGATAAACGAGTATTAATAGGTTAATGTTATGTTTATTTATACAATTTATAAAATTAACCTTTGTATATAATACATTTATTTATTAATTAAACTCATTAACAGTTTGTATATTCACAACATTCAGTAATATGACCATTTACAATACATATTCTTATCTACGCCTCAATATTCTGATTCTGTACACATGGCCCTATAACTGATTAGGTCATCATTAAGAAACAATTGTGGAACACATCTGAGGGCAGATGTAAATTTTCTGATAACACTAGTATTAGGTTATCTTCCTTCAAAAGAATTCAACTCTCTGATGAGCTACATGAAAGTGGCTGCAAAAACATATCTGAGGTTTTGAACATGACAAATGTCTTTTGTATAGTTTATCAACTCTTGACAAAACATGTTATCAATCAATTAGGTGTAAATATGTTTATCAGTAACACTTGGACAGTACTGTTACTTTCTAATATATTTTTTCTTAAAAGTAAGAAAAGATTACAGTCCGTCTGTCATTTGATGATGGGTTATCATGTCATATTTGGAAACAAGATGGTAGGATAAATTTTTTGGTCAATGAATTATTATATTATTATCTTGAATCAAGATTTCATTTGCTAGTTGGTGTGAAGGATTAATCGTGGAATGTGAAAAAATGTCACTTTCCATTTGGTGTTGGAAAGGAATGCTGTGAAAGGAAGTCATCATCTTCTTCTTCGAAAATTTGTGAACACTCCTTGATGCCTTCAACATTTAATCAATTGAACATTCATACCTTTTATTTTTTGAGGAAAAAATTTTGAACATGTTTTCTTTTATGTTAGTTTTTTTTTTTTTTTTTTTTTGCTCTACAAAATACATGAGTATATTATATGTCATGTTGCAGGTGTATATATAAAGTTATAATATACCTGTGTTAGTGGTGTGTATGTATATTTGTAATCAACACAGGTGTAAACATTCAAATTACATATTTATCTTTAGTTTAATCATGACATATCTGCTAACTGGTATAGACTTATTTGTATCAATTACGTTCACTTTTTGATAAATTAAGAATGATATGAAGTTATGAACCATGATCAAAAATTTGGAAAATATAGCAATTAAAATAATCTGAATTACACTTTAATATAGCAGCAACCGAAAAAGTACAATTTTGCGAATCGTAATTTTATAAAAAAAAAAATGTCTTACCTTGCGACCAAGTATTAATGCTTCTGTTGCCAATAGCAGTATTGATGATATACCCATATTTTGGGGCAGATGTTATGGTATACTTTAGCTTATTATCAGGGCTGTCTCGATCGCTTGTTTTTAAAGCTTTTTTGGTAATTTTAAATCCTAGTCCACCCCCTCCCATGTTGTACAAGGTTGAGGCTCCTGAGTTCACAGAAATCTGTGGAGTTCCATTGTCAATAGCTTTGATTTCAATGTTAATTGTTTGTGGACGTCGGGTGGTCACTGAAATTTCTGGGAAAACAAAAAAGTCGGAATGAGCGCCATCCGACACTGTAAAAGAGAAACTGTCATGGGTTGTTTCTGAGCCATCGTGCTGATAGGTAATCATATTTTCATTCAAATCTTCTTGGGTAAAAGTAGAAACAACCCTGGTGTTATTAAACAACAGGTTTCCATGAATCGGTGTTTGTGTAATGGTAAACACAATCTTATCATTTGGAGAATCTCGATCTTCAGCTTTAAGCTCAAAGGGGGTGATTAATTTATTATCAGCTTCTTTTAGTCTTAATGTTTGGAACATCAAAACCGGTTTCTTATTGTCCACATCACTTATAGATATTCTGAAAGTTCTAGCAACAGGATTGAATCCATCAGTTACTTCAAATTCAAAACTGTCCATTTTCATTTCATCTGTACTGGTATGTATGTAATGGATTTTATTACCAGCTAGATCTAGTTGTGAAAATGAGGTAATGGGCACTCCAGGAGAATCTGTTATTTCTAAATGTCCACGACCTGGTGCCCGAGTAACTATAAACTGAAGGTTTTCATCTGGGGTATTCAAGTCAGTTCCTCCCAATAAATCAGTGGAAAGAACTATTCTTCCTCCCTCTGGTAGTTCCACTCCTTTGTTGACAACACTGGGATATATCATATCAATTCCTTCAACGGTAATATAGAAATAACGATCAATCAATGGATTAAGTCCATCAGTCACATCAAATTTGATAAGATCTCGAACACCTTCTTGACCTGTATGAACATATTGTATTCTTTCATTGTCAATGTCATTCTGGGTAAAGTTGGCACTTAAACTGATATTATAAATAAAATTGCCTAAAAGTTTCTGAATGTATCCATATTTGGGCATTTGTCGTACAATGAAAGTTAAGTCTGGATCATTTGAGTCCAAATCTTCAGCCTTGAGCTCATCATTAGTGATTGTAACTGTTTCTCCCACAACTTCAACTTCCAGTCCATTGTTAATGGTAAGCCTGGGTGTCTCATCATCAAGTGGAATAACAATAATAGGAACTTCTTTTGTGATGTTGAATTTACCATCAGTTAGAAAAAATTCAAAAGAATCTGATAAAGTTTCTGTATCATCATGGACATATTCTATAGTAGAGGCACCAGCTATATCTTCAAATGTAAATGATTCAATTGGGAAAGACCCCTGGATTCTCTGCTGCATAATTTGTCCATGCTCTGGAAATTTGGTTATGGTAAAAACTAGTTCATCAGCTGGATCATCTTTATCCACAACATTTAATATTGGAAGATCTACCATTAGGTTCATCCCTTCCAACACCATGAATTCTCGGAGGAATACTTCAGGAGCTTCATCGTTTTCAGGATAAATGTTTACAGTAAACTGCTGATTTGGGGAACTGTTTATACCATCAGAGCAATAGAAAGTAAAAGAGTCACGTCTAGGTTCAACACCACTGTGGACACTTTGAACATAGTTTACCTGACCAAGCCTTACATTTTTTATGCTGAAAGCTGAAACAGGTAAACCAGTTCTTGGTTTCTCCGAACCAGGTCCTGGTGAGGCATTCTCCACATATCCATGTATGGGTTGAGTAATGATAGTACACACTATATTTTCATCTTCGGTATCAATATCAGTTGCATCTAAATGAATAGGTAAAATTGGTGCCTTATCATTTTCTAGAACTTCAAATGGAGCACCAACGCTTACAATTGGAGCTATGCTATCATCTGGCAAGATTTTAACATGGACTGATATTTCTGTTATTTGATTTCCACCAACAATGAAATCAGCTGATCTGTCAGTCAACATTAGCTGGAAAGTGTCATTTCTACCCACAGGTCCAACTTCTCCTCCCGTGTGTCTATATTCAACTCTTCCATCAGCAACATCTTTCTGACTAAATTCTTCCGTCTGTCTTCCATTAAGTAAGACTGCACCTTCGTATGGAGATTTAGAAAGTACAAAGGTCAGTTGTTGATCATCAGTGTCTGGATCGGATGCCTTCAATTTGTCTTGTGTAATTCTGACAACATTATTTTCTTTAACCTCTAATGATATTCCTAAAGTTCCAGAATCAATACCAATTAAAGTAGGTGCCTCATCATCAATAAAATCGATTTTGACATCAAAGGTGACAGGAACATGATGAACACCATCAGTGACATCAATAATAAAGGTGTCATCACCATTATCATCTCTAACATTGAAGTAGGCAACTCTTCCGCTCTGGATATGCTGTCTAGTGAAGCTGTCTCCAATATCTAAAATATCTTCGTCTAGTTGTAGTGCTCCATGAGTTGGCAGCTGATCCATAACAAAGTGTATGTTAGAACCATCAGTGTCCGGATCTTCTGCATCCAACATCTCTCGGGTCAAAATAGTAAACTGCCCTTCTATCACATTTAGGCCTCCATTGATGACTTTGGGTGGCTGATTATTAACAGGTTTGATCAAGAATGTGAATTTCTGTCCCCCAATAGCATTTCCATTGATGTCTTCTACATCAAAAGCCATCTGGATAATTCTTGGGACAAAACCTAGTTCTGAGCTTGGTGGCTTATAGCATATCTTATGATGATTGACCTGGGCTTGAGTGAAAGTTCTAACTCTTCTTTGGGTATCTTCACACATCACGATTGTACCTGGTTCTAATGGTGTATTAGGATCAGTATCAAATGGTTGAGTTGTGATGGTGTATTTTAATTGTCTATCATCAGTGTCATCATCAGTAAACCTCAAAAATTTTCTTTTCAGTTCTGTCAATTGGAACTCATTAACATCCATTTGAAGAGAGGTATCAGGGTAAATATATGGCTGTTGGTCATCTATGGGAGCAACTTTGACAATAAATTCTTCCATATCCGAGCTATTTGGTGGTTCGCCTCCATCAAATAATTTAAAACGTATTCTGTCCATAACAAAATCTGATCTATGAGGACCAACATGCTGATAAAATATTTTACCATCCATGATATCCTGTTGAGTAAAGGACTGCACAATTTTTTCATACACACCGTTTGTTACCTGCCACTCTTGGGAATCTCGAGGAACTTCAAATTGTCTCTTTAAGATTATGCCTTCAGTGGAGTAAGGTGGTTGTAAATCAAAGGAAATTTGACTGTCATCACTGTCAATGTCAGTTGCACTTAAAACAAAAGGGGATATTTCAGCCAGTTCATTTTTACGAATTTCTAATCCAGTGTTCACATTTAAAATTGGGGGTTCGTCATCTACTGGATAGACAGAAATCGGGAAAAGGTACTCGACTACATTTCGACCATCGGTCATTTTGAATATAATGTTATCGCTGTAGGTATCTGTGTCATCATGTTGGTAGATCACTGTCCCTTCATCTAAATCTTTTGGAGTGAAAAATTTTCTACCTCCTGGGATTATGAGCTGACCATGCCTTAATCCATCGTCTACAAAAATTCTTACATTCTGCAGATCGTTTTCATCGGATATGCGTAAGTTTAAGTCACTCTTTAAATAACGAGACTGTCCTTCAAACAGTTGTAAACCTCTGTTGGTCGTGACAACAGGGGCCATTGTATTCATAGGTTTTACAACTATCATCAACAAAAAGGGATCAGAGGCGAGTCCTTCTGAATCGACCACTTCAATACCCACTTCAAATATGCGTTGACTATTCGAATCTTGAGCAGGGGGTTTAAAGGCAATCCTGAGATCTCTCACGTCTCGTTGATAAAAGGATTTAACAGGTTGGTAACGATCATCCGTGCTGACAATATGCCCTTGATTCGGTCCCAATGGCTTAGTAATATTGAAAATCAAATAATCGGAATTAGTTTCTTCGTCTGTTGCTGATAGAATTTTATCTGTAATAGCGGTCATGACGAATTGGTCAACCTCCATAACTAATAAAGCCTCTACTTTAGGCTGGGGTCGAGTGTTTATTTCTCCCCCTGATATTCGGGCCATGATTTGAAAATATTCCTGTTTAGTTATGCTGCCATCGCTATCAAACACTTCAACGACCATTGGAATATAATCGCGGTCGGGAGACGTCTTATCCCAAATGTGGTGGTATCGTATACCCATGGTTAAAAATTCGTCACAATCAACCATATTTAACATATCGGTATTATTCATAATTCTGCCATAACGGGGTAACCCACTAGCTCTCGATAAAATTGTCACTTTACAAAATTCAACCTCGCGGTCATAATTAAACTCCAATACACTTGAGTCGATAGGCTGACTGACACCCCGTAATTCATTTACTTTGATAGGTAAATTACGTGTGACTATTTCTAACTGTACAAAAGATACTTCCATAGATAGTGTAAATGGAATAAGTAAAGTTTGGGTGGGAGAATCATAACGAATTTGTAAACGAATCCTGTCCTCCGATGGATTACGAGATCCAAAATGAGCGTATTGTACATCTCGGGCACCGAAATTACATGGGAAAATTATCGGCATAAGTTTGCCTGGTCTCTGTGACAAGGGATCATTGTCTAAAACAGTAACTGTACATCGATCTTCACCCCGTACATTTATTTGTAAATCTTCGGGTGTAACGTATATAGTTCTTCCTAACGGCACTTCAATTGGACGTTTTGCACGTAAAATATCCTCGGGTCGTAACAACACCTGAGTCGCACACAGTTGTATTAACACAATCAACGCGACAAAAGCGGCACTAAGTGTCCGGCCGTAAATCACCTGTAAGTCCAGTGTACAAATAAAACGGGCCATTTTCAGGAACCCGAGTTATTGCACAATCACCGCTTTCACACAAAACTTGTTATCCAAACTCGTTGAGTTCAGTAAGAAAGTTTGGCACATGTATAACCAACACAGCCATACTTTACCTTTTTGCCGAATATCACAATAACCTCACGAGTCGCGTTATGCTTGACCCCTTGAAATTTGCTTCCGGCACGACATATTTGCATAAATGTGTAAACAAAGAGCACGTTGTAATAAAGCGCGGGTATTGTTCCTCCAATCAAATATTAGCAAGCGCCAGACGGCCGCCCTTGACATCAATGCGTCAAGAGGAAAGGGCGTGGAAGGGCGGGGCTAAATATTGATTGACATATATATCTATCAGACAAGAGAATATTGGCATTCTTATTGGATTATGAGTGTTAAAACCATCACATAAGATATATACAAGCACGCGACCCAGCAATTTGATTTAGTTTACTGATAAAACATGTGCCGAATAGGCATGTAAATTTGTAAGGCTCATGTGAAATAGAAATACCGGTACTTATGATTACGTTTGAATTATACGGCACGGGGAAATTACGCAACACTTGAAACGTTTTCATTTCTTGACATTGAAAAAAGCAAATTTATAACGGTTTCCATAAAAGGCATCAACGAAAATGTTTTCCGTGTAGCCAAGAAGAAAATACCAATTTATTATTTCTGTGTATATATCTCTGTTCAATTCCCTGTAATCCTATAATATAACAATATTATAGTGACCATCCCTCTTTGAAGAACAAAAATAAGACACTAAATAACGAGAATTTTGCTTTAAGAGGTAGGCCGACGCAGAGAAATTAATGTTCCCTCACTTTTCAAGATCAACTTCGCATATCATTCCCCGAAATATCACCAGATATTTGTCCTTTATAAATAATTAATGCCTTTGTTGATTATCTGACCTCAATGATCGAGACATTAATTGAATTTGGGCGAGGATATGGCATATCGTCGACATTAACCTGAATTATGAGACGATGTAAAATATATTTGATGTGAAGGGCGCCTGTCTAATTTCTAACATCGTTAGCATTATGAGTGAATGGCAGCCTTGGTATAAGCGATAATTATCGATGGAAAACAACACTTTACTTCATCGTTTTCCACCCATCCCATCTTAACGGACGCTTTATGAGCTTATTATAACCTCTTTCTTTTGTCTATTTTTAGTGAATATTTCATTGGTAATAGTAGTTGGTTGTAGAAGTTCGACAGACGAAAGAAAATAAAGCGAAGATTGATGGTGTATCAACACTGCTGACCGGTCGCTTTATGACCACTGATAAGAGTGTGTTTTTTTATGGGTCGTGTAATGGTCAACTTTTCGCCAAGAATACAACACCTGCTTAGTTGGGTTCGTGTCTGCTTATATCACAATTTCTAGTTGAACGATATATCATATTATATTAAGTGCAGGAAGACCGCACTGCACACAAACAAAACCTGTGGACAAGACAAAAACTAGACAGTCATAATGTCTGTTTTCAAGATCTACACGGACGATTTCTTGGAGAAATGACCATTCGTGGTATCCGGGAAAGAACTGACTGAAGACATGTCGCGTATTATTATTACCCCTGAGATTGTAATTGTTTCGGGGCCACGGTGGCTAAGTGGGTAAGACGGTGGATCGTTAGTCTGGAGGTCGCATGTTCGATCCCTGCATTGGCCAAGAAAGTTCATCAAGATTTTCTGACGTGGTTTCCTCATGGCAGTGCTGCAGGATGGAGGGCCTGGCAAGGACAGCTGTCTAGTCATTCGGGTGGGACGGAAAACCGAGGTCCCAAGTATATTGGCGTGCATGTAAAAGATCCATTGGCAGTTGGAATTCGATATAAGAGTAGGCCATAGTACCGCTGCCCGGGCATTATTTCCCTTATTGCACACTGTATGGCGTATGCCCGTCTCCATTTCATTTCATTTTGTAAATGTTTCAACACGATATAACACATTACAGTAATTTACAATAAACAAGTACGAACGTACGTTATGGGATAAACGAATGCAAAAAATGCTTTAATTACATTTACAACGCACATTATAAGCTATGCGTCTTCCCCATATGAGAATGGGGGGTTGGATGGCCGAATGGTTAGCCTGTGCGCGCTGTATCATATGGTTTGTCATTGAGTCAACTGGCGTGGTTTCGATTTCTCGGTTGTACGTGACAAGGAGTAGGGTCGCGCCTGTCAAATCCCGTGGGTTTTTCCCCCGGGTCTTCCGGTTTCCTCCCACTCCTAAAGACCCCTATACGCACATGAAATAAAATTGAACCATGTGTTAGTCCCGAAATCACCTAGTTTGTGATGAATGGACGATAAACCCCATTTCTCTCTCTCTCTCTCTCCCCCTCTCTCTCTCCATATGAGAAATCGTATCAGTTATTCTTGACAAGGTACGTTATGTATTTATATTCGTGAAATAATTCAACGTTATAATATATTACAGGAACGCAAGCAGATACAAGAACATGTTGAACATTTAAAAGGACAGGAACTTCTCCCGCTGTTCATACTTCTGCCATATATGAGAATGTCTTTATAATTCATAGAAAACCACCTATAATTGCGCGTGTTTCTTGAATGCACATGTGGGGTTTCCCGCTCTAATAACCTGAAACTCATAATCAGAACATATTTTAAATAAAAAATAATTATATTTGTCAGAAAATATAAAGATTCATTGATCCTGGAAGTTGTCAGTGTTAATGTCTTTACAGTTTATTCAGTCAAACGAATAATTATATAATTGCAGCTCCCTGTTTCTTAATTGTTCAACTCTAATTGAATTGAAATGTATAAAAGGATGGTTGTGTTTAGAAAAAACGATTAATTATTATTTAGTGTAAGCAAAATCGAAGAACAAAGAATTTGATTTTTTAGCTGGGTTTTTTTTTTACCATTTCTTGTGAGGGGGGTTGGATGGCCGAATGGTTAGCGCATGCGCGTTGTATCATAAGGTCTGTCATTGAGTCAACTGGCGTGGTTTCGATTTCCCGGTTGTCGTGACAAGGAGTGGGTCGCCTGTCCAACTTCGTGGGTTTTCTCGGGTCCTCCGGCTTCCTCCCACTTCTAAAGACCCCTACGCGCAAGCGAATTATTGAAATAAAATTGAACCATATATTAGTCCCGAAATGACCTAGTTTGTGTCGAGTGGACGTTAAACCCAATTTCTCTATCTCTCTCTTCTTGTTTTATACCAGTATATTATACAAATCCAATAACGTCACTTATAAATACCAATCTGCATGGGGTATTCCAGACAGGGGCGTGGTGACTCATGATTTTGCATGAGGAATAAGATCCCGTCCGAGCCTCCCAAAAAACAATATTTATATGTGTGTGCGGGGCAGGAGGTGGGTGGCAGTCCCTCCAAGTTCCACCGAGTAATGTTGGCCTGCTTGGAACATGCTAGAGTCGATATTTATATCATATCCTGACAAGCGGTATATGTTTGACACCGGTTGAGCATTATAATTTGCGAGGGGGCGCAAAAACTCAAAACCATGACACAAAGCTCGTGATTGCGCCCCTCTCACTTAGCCGCTGATTCCAGAAACTGAAAGAATACCTTCTATTGTGTATGACGTTGACTCTTATGGAAGTTTGACCAAACTTTATATTTTTTATTTTACTTTCTGTTATCGTATACCGTGGTCATGATTGCCATAAATGCCATAAGTTGTGTTGTTTAGCTGAAAATATCAGTTTCACCTGATAAACAAAATCTAAACAAACATCTGCTTATTGCAAATATGGCACAAACATTTGGCACCTTTTAGTGTTAATCGGGGCACAAAAGTGTCTGTATGTATATTTTTGTAGTCTGCGTGTGTAATAAATTTATAGGGTGAGCCCCTGTTTTTATTGGGCTTCCGAAAAAGAAGTTCGTTTATGCTATTTGGAAATGATAACCAAAGGATTTTACATGGGTGTTTTGCTTGTAGCGCTCGGCTCTAATATAGCACTATGGCACTAAGATAATTAGACCGTTAATATTTCTAGAAAGACGTACTACAAAGCTTCAGATAGCTGCGTTTAGCTAGTATAAGGGATTCTAAGAGCCTTTCATACAATCAATTTTATTCACTGGAATATGTCTGGAATTTCTCCTTTAAACGGGTTATTCACATGTAACTACAGAGAGTCTTACAATCTTTGATAATATGTTCTTGAGATAAGATTCTATGATAAAAAAGGACAAGGAGCTATTTTTAGTTTCATGTTGTATTTTTTGTTGGATTTAAATAACGCATAAATCTCTCTTTATAAATAGTATTTATGCACAGAAACCAGAAAATTGGCTAGAAATCTTCCAGTCGCTCCGTTAATTTTGGCAATTGCGCAACTTGTATTGTATCCGTGTGTATATAATTTTCTCTAGTCATCGGCTGTTACCTACCACCAGTAAGCTAGATAGATAACTACACACGCACTTTTCTCACTAATTTTTCTCCCATATAATTTTGTTTATACGTCTATATTTTAGAAAGGGTAGAGATGTTAAAGGAGCTAAATCACTAATATTTGGGACCTAGAAATTGACACAAATGGTTCGCACCTCATATAATAATGTAATATGAATGTATATAAACTGATTTACATTCAATCGTTTCTGTTTATACTCTAATTTCTAATCAGTTATGTTCGGCGAAATACGACAGAAGTATCAATCGAATGGCAATCTCTAGCGTCTGGTTATTCCAGTCTACACTGATAGTATTTATTGCAGATGCTTTTCAGATAAGAATATGGCATCACCGTTTGACATGACTTGTGGAATATGTTGAACCTCCTTCTTCGAGTCCCTTGTTATAAGTGGCTCTGAAATGCAAATATGGTACACGATTCGTGTAACAATGGTAAAATGTTTATTTTGTCTCAAATATTGGATATCAGAAGCCTACCTTTTTCCCGGTAAATTCACAACATCAATGTTGATTTAAACTGACAAATACTTCGTGTTTTCAATGTCGAAGACTTTGGATGATACTGAGTTAGAGACTTCTACTTTAAATTGAATGTATAGATATGGCGTGTTAGAATAAGATACAGATAATCGAAAACAAACACCTGTATGCCTCCAGCATC